GTGTGGCGACTGGCCGTCTGAGGCGGCGGTGGCCAGCGGTCACGTCACGGCCGCTTCCGGTGCCGGCCGAGGCACGTGACTGTCGGCGCCGAGTCCGTGACCTGCCGGCGCGGGGGCGCTGGCGCCCGACCGCTGCAGTGGCCGCGCGCGCCGGCTGGCCAGCGGCGTCTGCGGCTGGAGTCACGTGTGGACGCCGCACACCCACAGTGGAGCCATGGGTGGCGGCTGTGGCTGGAGACACACGTGGACGCGACACACTCCCAGAGGAGCCGTGGGTGGCGTCCGTGGCTGGAGTCACGTGTGGACGCCACACAGCCGCAGCAGAGCCGTGGGTGGTGTCTGTGACTGGAGTTACGTGTGAACGCCACACACCCGCAGCTGACCCGTGGGTGGTGTCTGTGGCTGGAGCTACGTGTGAACGCCACACACCCGCAACTGATCCGTGGGTGGTGTCTGTGGCTGGAGCCACGCGCGGATGCGAGGCACCCACAGCAAAGCTATGGGTGGCTTCTGTGGTTGGGATTACGTGAGGATGCGACACACTCGCAGCAGAGCTGGGTGATGTTCATGCCAGTGATCCGACAGGACAGTGACATACATCACTGTCAGTGATTATCGTAACTTGATCACTGATACTACGCGGCTCTGTCACTGGCATTTGTCTCTGCCACCGAAATTACCCGCCCATTTCACTGATATCACGTGACTCTATCATTAAAAACGTGGCTAGCGCTGCTTTTATGAGCTGCATTCCCATTGTTCACGGCGGCGGGCCCCGGTGATGTGGGCCAGCCTACATCACCGGTAGGACCTGCCACTCCGCGTCCGTGCTCACCAAGCGGAACCGTTCGCCGCGCGCCCGCCCACAGCGGAGATCCACATCCCTCGCCTGGCGCGACCAGGGCCGAGGGCCGATCAGCGCACCTACGCCGCCACGCGCCGCTCCGGCAATGGCCGCCGCTGACTGATATCGTGTGATCGCAGACCGTTTAACGGCCGTCTCTAGTTGGTATCGTGGCCCGCGAGCCCTTTCGCGTCGAATATGGGTGAGATTTGCGGTCGGCGCCGGCGGTAACGTAGCAGGCCGTGACCGCGGCGGAGCCAGACAGAGCCGCGCCGTGTGTGAGGCCTGGCCTGAACTCGTGCGCCGACCGTCTCACCGTGACGTAGGCCCAAATAAAGGGCTCCAGCGCGGCAGCATTTTCTATTCAATATGCTCGGTTGATCGCGACGGGGTTCAAGATGGATGCTGGCCATGTCAGATGCGATGAATAATGGAGAACTGGCTGTGGCAGCTCGTTTTGCATGTTTATCGGTTGTAAATTTCGTAAATGAACATGGCGGTATCAAACGCAGCCGCTGCGGGCACGCGCGTGATTAAATTGGCCACACTAGCCGCATTCAAACTGGACAAGCTGTCACAAACGACGACGACTCACTACAATAAAAGCGTATCATTCTGTAACTTCTCGCACGAATCTTCATGACTTGTCACGGTAGCATTTACTGCTTGTTCGTGCGCCTAGCCAGAACCCTTACCAGGGCGCAAACAATGCACGTATTTATCGAACGGCCTTCTTTAATGGTTCGACTGGCGATTTTTGCACAGCTCACCTGACCCGATGGTCAGGTACACCATGTGCTGAAGCATTCCTTGCTGGGCATCGTTCATTTGAGCGGCTAGAAGGTTTCCCAGCGGACATTGCCGGCGAGACCAGCATGCCGACGTCCAGTTCCGAGAACAAAGGCCGATCCGTCTTGTCTGCACGTTCGCTTTATTCAGGCGGGCGTCGAAGCCCGTCTTCCATCATCCTAGCGCGCCCAGCCGCAGCGTTCCATGACTTGAGACGACTCGCCTCGGAGGCCCTCCTCTCTCCCCATTCCTGATTGTCGCCTGGCGTCTTCCCATCATCCTAGACTGCTTCAGGTGCCCTGAGGCTTGACTGGGTCAGACAGGCCTCAAGCCGATGGGCCGCACGTCCACACACCCTCCGTGCGGCGCTCGCAGGCCTAGCCGCCCCCTGCCGCCGTGCAACTATGTACACAGTGCATTCCTGGCGGTCATCACGGGATGCGGCGCGTGGGAAGCCAAGATATCCCGGCGGATCTGCTCCTCATTACACCAGCCAGACGGCCAGGGACTGGCACCGCTTGGAGTCTGATTGGAATCTGATCAAAGCTAGAGCGAGGTTCCCAGGATCTGGACGGAAGGAATTGGCACGGGCTGTGACGGCTGACGGGGAGCAGAGGGTCAGTTTCTCGCTGAAGACCGGGCGGGCAGCGTCATGGGTAGCCAGAGGGTTGGGGTCGGTCGGCGCCCACCCTTTCGCAGGTCCGACCGGCCTCACGACCGCGAGCCGTGGAAGGAGGAGGCGAATATGCCGGTCGCCGCCGGGCCGGGTAAAAGGAGCCGCCCACCGAATGACGCGTGCTAACCAACACGACCGTGATAGCGACAATCCCCACAGGCCGCCGATCCGTGTTTCCAGCGAGCTTCCGCTCCGAGAACCTGCCGTCGGGGTCTGGAGCTGGGGCCGCCCACGCGGCGCGGACAAGAACCGCGGCTTGTTTATGGTCCGCATGCCACTGACAGACGCTCAGCGGGCGGTAATTGCGGTGTCATTCATGTCTGGAGTGTCCCGACGCTGCCGGGTGTTGTTGACGTTGCATTAGGCTTCTAACGGCGTGATCACGACATGTTTCAACAGGGGAAGGTGCGGTCACCTTTTTCATGCCGCGGTGAAGAAAGCACCAGTGTAAACAGCGCGGGAGTGCGTTATTCTTTATGAATAATTGTACCACGGAGAGTGGGGTGTGTGAGGGGATGAGCTCCAACATTCTGAAAACTTTACATTGACCCTATGAGCGTTGCCTGGCAAGAAATAATCCAAAGTGGCTAACGACCTCCTCCCCATTAATTTGGGAGAGCTCCAGTGGGCCTGCACCCACCCTGCAGTGGTACCAGGCACGGCACCCCCGCCTGCATCCGCCCTGCAACGGTGCCAGGTGCTCCTCCCCTGCCCGCACTCGTCCTGCATCAGTACCAGGTGTCCCTCTCCCGTCTGCACCCGCCCTGCAGCGTTACCAGGAGCCCATCCCCCGTCTGCACCCGCCCTGCAGCGATGCCAGGTGCCCATACCCTGCCTGCATCCGCCCCGCAGTGGTACCAGGTGTCCATCCCCTGCCTGCACCCACCCTGCAGCGGTACCAGGTGTCCACCCCCCGTCTGCACCCGCCCTGCAGCGATGCCAGGTGCCCATCCCCTGCCTGCACCTGCCTAGCAGCGGTACCAGGTGCCCATCCTTTGCCTGCACCCGCCCTGCAGCGGTACCAGGTGTCCATCCCCCGTCTGCACCCGCCCTGCAGCGATGCCAGGTGCCCATCCCCTGCCCGCATCCGGCCTGCAGCGGGACCAGGGCGTGCACTACTGTCGGCCCATGTCTCGCCGTCACTAGCGGGAATGGATGGCGAACAGAGCGGGCCGGCCGGCCGCCCAGCCGCCGCCCCACTGTTTGCGTTGGCGCTGGCTTCGGGGGAAAGTGAGCCGACGGGATTGAGATGCCGAGGTATGAATGGCAGGCGCGGTGGGCGCCGGTGGCTAGCGGGGTGAGATTTCTGAGGATCGTCCCTACCCCTCAGCCCCCAAGCCGGGTCTGGTGCTGATACGCCAGGTCAGCTGGCGCGGGACATGGACGCTGTCAGCACACGTTTGCTCATTCCGCGAGACTGTGACTGAAGGATGAGGAATGCGGGGGGGGATGGATGCATGCAAGGGTTAAGTACACTCCTAGAACCTATGACCCTAGATATTGGTGTGGTGCAAATGATATTCGCTCGCATTTTGCCTACACTTTACGTGTTGGGATGCAGTTAAGTTATTTCGTCGTATACAAAGGCAAAATTATACCTGGTTTACGGCCGCTACCTGCGGTCGCGCTTTTTCTGGGGTGACTTGACACTACACAAGGTGAGGTACCTATCAAGTGTGTGCTAACATGAAACGTTGTTTTGTAAATAAAGTTGTAAATGTTTTATTGCATTATTGAATGATATGTGTTGAATTTAATTGAGTGTGTTTGATGTTATTTGTGGAACATTTGCCCCGTTCTCAGACATACAGAGAAGATGAGAGGCTGAAATGCCAATGGCCCAAAATCTCTTTGTCCGGAAGGCAAGAGGGATTGTCACCTTTCACAAACCAGAACATAATCGCCGAATATTGGCATGCAAAACAGTTTATCCTTGTCGCTTCATTTAGGTTCATGGCGGCGGCCCTCGCGCAGTTTCACCTATTACAATTAGAAGCAATGCTAGCCAGTTATTATCCCATGTCAACGAAGGCCACTCGCTTCGCTTGTGCTAGCTGTTCCAGCTTAAATGGGGCTGTTGTCTCTGAATATCCGCATACCAGGAGCGCATTCAGATTTAAATGTGATAATTCGTAATTCATTCGTAACAGGTTTTGTGTCTGACCGAATGCGCGAGATACCTATGGGGACAGAGATAAGTGCGCTTGGCTTATATTATTAATAAGGCATCGTAGACTTCATATTCAAAAGAAAATGGACACATTCTCCTGCAAGCACAGTTATTAATAACCACGTCTTGAATTTGTTCATAGTGTAATGCAGTATCTACCCTAATGGGATTGCATCAACGCTTTTCTTTCTGATTAGCATCACTTCCCACTTGCAGCCAGCTCCTCGGCACCGACTGCAAGACTCTTAAAACACGTGGACGAATCCAGTTTCGGGCCATGTAACGACCGCTCAGCACCCTAAATTAATTAGACAAAACTACATTCCGCTGGTAGTTAGCGAATGATACCCGCGCAAGATTCTGTCTTTCACGGAGCGCAAGCTTAGGGTAAGCCGAGCGATCACCGACATGGGAAAGGCGTCGCGACATGCAAGGCGGCGGGGAGGACGGACGTCAGGCGCGAGGGCAGCTCAGAGCCCAGCGCCCGCGGCGGACGACGAGCCAGCCCGGAGACCACTCACCTCGAACTTGAACGCCTCGCAGTGAAGAGGCGCCATCGACGCATCATCGTAGATCTTCAGGTCTTGCAGGGAGCCCTTAAGAGCAAGCAGCCCGACATAGGTCAGGGCCAGGCGCAGAGGGGACGCCATGGCGGCAGTCCAGGTCAGCTGCAGGGCTCGGGGTCAGCTCAGGTCAGCTGGGACGCGCCTCGGCGCGAGCGCCGCCGAACGGGACCGCCGGTGAAGCGGAGGAAAAGGACACAGGCTACCGGGACCAAGCGCCGACTATGCGGTCATGTCACTGTAGCGGTACGCAGCCCCACTGTGGCCAGGCCTCACCGAGCCGGCCCACCCCTCCAACAGCTGACCGGCCTGGTCGGGCTCGAAGCCGGCTGGGACCTGCTGCCGTCCACCTGCTCGTCTCGAGCCTCGCGCGGTCGGTCCGCGAGCGGCGCCGGCGCGGCCGGGGAGCAGGTCGGCTGGCGGCGCGGCAGCGGCGGCGGCGGCGGCCAGCTGTCCTATGGAGTTTGCTGCCGGACCGGGCGCGCGCCTCTGCACAACCCGCACGGCGAGCGACGCCGGCGCAGACTGACTCGCCGCGCCGGCCGGACGGCGGCCGGCCCGGCGCCCGGCCCTGGACGGCAGGCGGGGCTGTCTGTCCCGCACGGCGGGGCCCAGTGTCACGGAGAGCAGGCGGAGTGTCAGGACAGCGGGGGGGGGACCGGAGAGCGTCAGGAGTGTCAGGACGGCGGAGGGTAGTACCGGAGAGCGAGCAGAGCGTCAGGACAACGGGGGGGGGTGGATGGTATCGGAGAGCAGGCGGAGTGTCAGGACGGCGGGAGGTGGTACTGAAGAACGGGCGGAGTGTCAGGACGACAGGGGATAGTACCGGAGAGCGGACGAAGTGTCAGGAAGACAGGCTGATGGTGATGATGGGCGGGCCTGCAGGAAGTGTGACAGTCTGTCTGCCGTCCGAGTCGGACATGAAGCTACCACAGCATATGCTGGACGAACGGCACGACCTCAGTTCGGTTCTCCCCACACAGCGCTAAGGGATCACCGGCTAACATTCAAACACGTGATGAGTGCACCGGAGCCCCCATCATGATCGAAGAATTCTGGACGGTCCACTAGTGTCCTTAATTTCCCTCCATGGCATTGCCAGCCGCCCGCCTGACCTGAGCGGTTACCAGCACCGAGCCCCCTCCCCCCCCCCCCCCCATCTGCAGCAGACTTGCTGCACAGGGTAGTGCATGCCACAGACGCTGGGCCTGGTGTTTCCGCTCAGGGCATCCCTGGCAAGAAGACCCAATTTACGAGGAACAAAGGAAGCCGTCTAGCAAGGAGACGGCGTTAGTGACGGAATGAAAATGTCCACGCCTTCTGGCTCATTCAGACGCCTCGCTGGCGTTTGTACAACTCTGAAACGAATGATGTACCCGTTTGGTTTAGTGAAAATTCAAAGAATCGTAGACGTGACCCCATGTAGTCTTTGTGTTCATGGTTCAATGGCAATTCAAAGAATTGTTGACATGAGTCCACGTAGAGGCCTTTGCGCTCACCGTCGACAACTTTGTTAGTTGCATTGATTGCAGTTTTAGTTCTCAAAGAGCCAGATGTAGCCTCTTGAATACAAATCACGCACACCGCACGTAAGGTCACTACGTCGCTCATTATCAGGTTCCTCTCCAGTAGCATGACACCAGTTTCTTTAATCCCACCCATCGCCTTTATCAGCTGACTTGACCACGCCACTAAGCGGGTCCACAGCGTGCCCCCTACGGTGGCTGGCTGCGGGGCAGTGTAGGGGACCGGCGGGGAGGCCATTCACGGCGCCTCTTCAGCAGCCAACTAGCCGGAAATGCATCATGGTAAGGTACTCGGCTCCCCTTCTGCTTAACTCGCTCAAGAGGCATGTGCCTGCATATAAAAGTGGCGTCACCGCTTTACACTACGCTGACGACACGCAACTAGTGGTATGTGACAGAAAGAGCAATCTGCCATCTTTAGCCGAGTAACTCGGATCGCAGCCAGCTTTCCTCGGCTGCTGGTTTGCGAGCCAAAAATGTAAATAAACGCGTCGAGAACAAGCGAATCGCCTTCTGGACACGTCAAATTTTCTGCGACATGCAGCCCGCACCTATCATCTTTGCGAGCAGAGCCATTTCCAAAACACGAAAAGCACGCGATCTGGGATTTACGGTACAAAAGAACATGACCTTCAATTCTCATCTCAATCAAGTAACCGGGTGGATTCTGTACTGGAGCTGACATCGGCTCGATAGCTACCTCATGCGGCTATTACAGCTCTGACCAATGCATCGGTTCAATGCAATGCAATGCCACCGCTGCAACGTGCATTGTCGCTTCCGGTTCGCGAAGCGTTGACCTGCGCCTTGTAAAACGTGCTGAAGGAGCAGCTGCTTGTCAATTGATCCCCTGTGTGGTTTGACTGGCGCGTTTGTACTGGTATGCTAAACAGCATGTTGTGCGTTACAACTCTGACGCGCGACATGAAAAGTCACGTCAATTGGATGTACCAAAGCTGTCACCAGGTCTGGCGACGCCTCCTAAGAGGGTGCCGCAGGATAGCCCCCCTCCCCCGCCCCCTTCCCCGTCCTCTGGCGGCCCACGCTGCCGCCCAGGCTATCACCATACCGACCCGATCGGCCTGGGCACACTGGTGCCGGCACTGCCGAGGTCACAGCACAGCCTCGTGGTCACAGCACCGACCTTGGCCACCGTACATACCTCTGATCCCGGTCCAGGTCTGCACGGTCATCGACCTGGTCCTGAGACTGACCTGGTCACAACGCTCGTCTGGACGAGACAGAGACCTGATGGCATGCACGAGCTGCAGCTTCAGCATCGACAGCAGCAATCGGCGTCTCGGAAATCACCAGAGTCGACAGTGATCCAATGATGGCTACTCGCATGTTGGCGTGCGAAACCAGGTAATACCGTCACGCGTTCAAAAAATTCAAGGGATAGGTAACCAATAATCCCTAGGACTGTCAGGCGGACATCAAACTGATCGGTTGATAAGCGCCGGCCTGCGCCGCGTTTGTCGCCAGGATGGCCAAGCTAACCCAAGGTTGTCTATGTCGGATCCAAGGCCGGGATCTGGACCGAATTCCTTCGCATGGACACCTGCCTTGATCTAGTCTAACGACCAGAAGCCTGGCGAACCAAAATTCCTTTGTAGAGTATGGCTGGCCAGTCATCGGATTGCCTCCGATAGCCCACTAGTAATAGAAGGCGATAAGTTATTTCGTTAGCAGAATTGTGGGCAAGCATTAAAATATATGTTGTTTGGAGCTGTCATGTTTCAGAAATGATTGCTCACGTTTACCGCGCTAGCCAAATTACCTACAGTGATACATGCAACATTACACACCTAAAAATGCTGTGTCATTCGAGCAAATGACACTGTAAGTGGAAGGTTTAAGAATAACCTCTATAGGAAAACTCGAGCATCATGCTGTATCAAAATGAGGATTTGCGCGTATCTCTAGTGGCTGGTCCATACGTTCGCCATATGATGCCCCAGTTGTTACTGATTTGGGGATTCAGGGTGCAGCAACTGCTGGGCCTGCCACGTCGACTGCCTCGTCCATATCCATCCCCATGCGTTCAGTGGTCCTGAACGTGACCTGGTGGCCTGGTTACTTCTCCATATGTCCAAACTACGGCGTACTGTGGGAGCCTCTACCAACCTCCAACACATGGCAACCCTGATTTCCTCACGCGCTCACCTGGTATCGGATGGCTTTGGACTGTCTACACCGGCCTTGGTCTATACCGTCCTGGAAAGGCTGCGCAGTTCCTACTCGATGGCACCAGACCGATTGGCACGTGACGTCTTTTCGAATGCGCTTTGGAAGTGAGCGATGCTCAGTCGCGCAAGGCTATAGATAAGCTTTCATGAGGTCACTTTTTTGTATTTCGCACAGAATAAGTGCATTGGGAACGCGGACGACGCGACACACCATTGCAATAAAACCTGTGAGAAGAGTTTGATCTGCAGTGGAATCGTGAGCCCGGCATGCGTGCAAACCGTCGTCAAGCTTCGCAGCCGGGAGGCGTCCTGGAATACCAGCGCGCGGTATGCGGCCAAGGTGATCTGACCTGCGTGACCCTCCTTCTGGAGGACGAGCTATGACCGCTCACCCAACGAGCCCACGCGCCACGTCGCATGACGGCCGTGCCGGAAGGAGCACACTTCCCTCATCGGCTAACCGCATCACGTCATTTGCCCATACCGCGGTCTGTCCTCTCCTCGCCGTGTCATCTGATGCCGCGCCCATCTGAGCATCAGGGGGACCGGGGGGCGACCTGGCTAGTCTCCAGCGCCGGTTTGCCCCCGGACTGATCCCAGCTGTCCCTCGCCACCTACCGCAGCACCCCTATCCGCGATTGATGTCTCTCCCTGCTGCGGGTAAATAATCCGGACCGGTGCGACCACACAAAAGCGTCAGCCGTGGCCCGGGACTTCGACCGGACCCGGGGCTGCTGCTTTATAGACAAAGCAGAGGTGGAGGATGGTTACGCAATCTGTCGCCTCCATGTCCCGGAACTAGTGCTTGGTCACAGTTCAGGATCGGAGTACAGCGATGGACCGACAGAACATCCATCAGCCCAGCCGCGACGCAGCTAGGGGCCTGTTAAGGAGTCCCATGTTACATGTTACGACAGGGGTGTCCGGTTTCCTGTTCAGTCGGGGAGGGAGGGGGGTTCCAGTCCTACAACTTAGGTTTCAGTCATCTTAACTTTGAGAAAGAAGTTGGTAAAATCCGAGGGAGAAACCTGGACTTGGCACCTCTTTGGGTCAGATGCCATTTCTCGCCGTTCAACCCTCCCCTCTACTCATTTTACGAAAGTACACCCCTCAAACACGATAACCTCCTGATACCAAGTCTTGCTGCCATTCGCATAAAAATTAATGCGACATACAGCTATCTGCGAGCACGTCGATAGTTCAACGCTATACCGATCATTTGGCGCACTGAGGCTGGCGTTTCAGCTGACGAACAAACCATGCCTCCCACAACGGTGGTAAGACGTTTATTTGCCCGTAGCTTAATCCACAGCAAATT